AGACCCCTATAAACAAAATCAGAAATGAAAGAGAAGAAGTCACCACAGATATCGGCAGATATACAAAGGATGACACTAGAATATAATGAAAGACTATATGCCACCAAATTCAATAACCTAGAAGAAATGGATAAGTTCCTAGAATTATATAACCTGCCTAGGCTAAATCATGAAGAATTGGAAAATCTAATTAGACTGATCAGCAGTGAGGAAATTGAAACAACCATCAAAAACCTCCCCAAAAGCAAAAGTCCAGGACCTGATGGCTTCACCAGTGAATTCTACCAAACATTCAAAGAAGATTTCATATCTATCCTTCTTCTAGAACTCTTCCAAAAATTGAAGAAGAGGCAATACTTCCTAATAGATTTTATGAGACCAACATAACTCTGATACCAAAACCTGGCAAAGATAACACAAAGGAAGAAAACTACAGACCAATATCTCTGATGACTACAGATGCAAAAATCCTACACAAAATACTAGCACATCATCTACAACAGTGCATCCAAAAAATAATTCATCAGAATCAAGTGAGGTTCATTCCAGGGACACAAGGATAGTTCAACATTGCAAATCAATCAATGTAATGCACCACATCAACAAAAGGAAGGATGAAATCATATGACCTTATCAATAGATGCAGAAAAAGCATTGATAAGATACAACATCCATTATGATTAAAACACTCAACGACATGGAAATAGGAAGTACCTCACCATCATAAAAGCAATATATGATAAACCCTCAGCTATATCACACTCAATGGTGAAAAACTGGACACTTTTCCTCTAAGATCAGGAAAAGACAAGGATGTCCACCCTCACCTCTCTTGTGCAACATAGTGCTGTAAGTGCTAGTCAGAGCAATGAGGCAAGAGAAAGAAATAAAAAGTATCTAAATTGGGAAGGAAGAAGTAAAAGTCACTTTTTGCAGACAATATGATTCTATACATAGAAAATTCTAAAGACTCCACCAAACAACAAACAAATACAGTAAAGTTGCAGAATACAAAGTCAATGTACAAAAATTCACTGTCTTCCTGTATACTAACTGCGAAACATCAGAAAAAGAAATGAAAAAAATTCCTTTTATAATTGCAACCAAAAGAATAAAATACCTTGGAATTAACTTAACAAAGAATGTGAAAGTCCTATATACTGAAAATTACAAAGCATTATTAAAAGAGATTGAAAAAGACACAATGAAATGGAAAGATATCCCGTGTTCATGGATTGGAAGAATTAATAGTTAAAATGGTAATTTACCTAAAGTAATGTACAGATTTAAATTTAAAAATGGGCAAAAGCTTGAACAGATCTCACCAAAGAAGATGTATAGGTGGCAAATAAGCATACGAAAAGGTGTCCTACATGAGCTGTCCTCAGGAAAATGCAAATTAAAACAACGAGATACTCTTACACACCCATTGAGATGGACAAAGCCCAGGGCGCTGACCCCCAGGGACTGCTGAGAGGCGCCGCTGAGGAGCTCAGTGCAGAGCGCACCATCTCCTTGTGGGTCTGGCCAGCAGGGGGCGGCCAGGGCTGCGGCGCAGACGGTGCTGAAGCTTGGAGTTCCAGCCCAAATCTGTCATCAACAAAACAACAAGAAAACCCACCTCGTGGGAAAACATATTTGCCAACGTCATATCTGATAAGGGCTTAATCTCCAAAATTTATAGGGAACTCATACAACTTAACAAAAAGAAGATAAACAATCCAATCAAAAAATGGGCAAAGGACCTAAATAGACACCTTTCAAAAGAGGACATTCAGAAAGCCAAGAGACATATGAAAACATGCTCAAAGTCACTAATCATCTGAGAGATGCAAATCAAAACAACAATGAGGTACCATCTCACACCTGTCAGAATGGCCATCATCAACAAATCAACAAACGACAAGTGCTGGAGAGGATGTGGAGAAAAAGGGAACACTTGTGCACTGCTGGTGGGAATGCAGACTGGTGCAGCCACTATGGAAAGGCAGTATGGAGGTTCCTCAAAAAATTGGAAATGGAAACTCCCATTTGACCCTGTGATCCCACTTCTAGGAATATATCCCAGAAACCAGAAACACCAATCAGAAAGGATATATGCACCCCCCTATGTTCATAGCAGCACAATTCACCATAGCTAAGGTCTGGAAACAGCCTAAGTGCCCCATCAGTAGATGAATGGATTAGAAAACAGTGGTACATCTACACGATGGAATACTATGCTGCTGTAAAAAAGAAGGAACTCTTACCATTTCAACGGCATGGATGGAACTGTAGAACCAATGCTTCTTTTTTCCCCAGTCAATGAAGGAAAAATCCCACATGATCTCACGCATTCATGGATAATAGAGACCATTATATCTTTTGAACAATAATAGATACAGAGGCAGAGCTGCCTCAAACAGATTGTCATCCTGCAGCGGGAAGGCCGGGGAGCGTTGGGGGCCAGGCGGGAGGGGGGTAAGAGATCAACCGAAGGACTTGTAT